GATAGAGTTATATTCTTTATACAGTTATCAAGTATTAATAAATATTCAATAGTTGTTGAACTGAATTCCTTATGTAACGTAAATTATATTCAAATAAAATTTGACAGTTGATAGTCTTTAACATCAGTTAACACTGTTTCAACTTATTCCATTGCCCTTGGAAGTCATAAATCATCGTTTAACCACTTTACAAACATTGATATACATACTCTCATCTGTATCGAATTATAGAAAAAGGCGAAATTTTCAGATTTTTTTTATTATTTCTATCACATGAATTAACCCAATGGAAACTACTTACACATGAGAAATTTTGTTAATAATGAGGAAAACAAACCATTGAAAAGATGTAATTCCATCCTCTTACTCTTGTCACAATGTATATGTATGTGTATCTATACATACTGTCATTACTCAATCTTCCATGTGTGTCGATCAGTAATTGAATAAATAACAATGTTTATGTTGGTTTAATATGTATGTGGTAAAGTATTCATTCAACCATATGTTTATTTATGTTCAATGTTTTCTTTTTCTTTACTTTTCTGGTCATTTTTTTTTCAAACATGACTGAAAGAATAATGATTATATTCGTTGTAGCATAAATTCAAATATATATATGAGAACAATGAAAGGATAGATACAATAGGGAAACATAAGATTATGAAATTTACGTCAAAAACACAAAATGAACTAAATCATTTCTATTAAGCGAATTCATTACTGACTGATCAACCAGTTGGATACAATTATGATATTGGTATTCTTTTATTCATCCACTCTCTCTTTCTCTTCTCATCTCTTCTATACTCTAACTATATTCATGAATAAGGTGATTACGAAATATTGCCTCAATGATATACTTCACCCGTAACAATCTATTAAGTATACATGATATAATTTAATTTGCATGTTTAACATTCTTAAATTTCAATAGACAAGGAGATATACAATTACATATGAACATGTTAATAAGTAGTATCTTAAAAACAGGTTGTCGTATCTTTTTCAATTCTATTCATCAATGTATAAGTGAACACATGTCAAATAGAAAGAAACCGGTTACTTTATTTGATTGATACTTGAAAAGTACATAAGACTATATGAGTAGTGTATATAACTCTGATTAACCACAATACAACCCATTCGATGTTAGAAAGAATAAAAAAGGTTAGAAGGTGGAGATTTATTTTATAGTTTATTATTAAGAAATGATCTTATTCAGATGATCATTTGATATAACTTTATCTTAGTACATGACATCTCAAAAGAGTACAATCATGACCCTATTGGGAACACAAACCTAGAAAACTCAGATTTCACATTGAGTGTGTAACACGTTGATCAGTAGATCGGAGTCCACTGGATTTAATTCTTAACTACAAATAATTTGATTTGTTGCATAACCATTTTCCAACGCAGTTAGTGATTTTATATCTCATATTCGACACTCTTAAACTCTTTTGATTGCTTCGAAATCACCTCTCAAATTTAGTTACTAGTGAGTAAATAATCTGATGGACAGCTAAAGTAGATCGGCAAAACATCTTTATGTATCTACATATCATTATATATTGATTTCATCTACATTGTTTGCCAGTTAAAAATGTTCAAACTAGCTTAATTCAACACGAATAAATTGATGACTCAATCGATGGAGCTAATTTAATAATATCGTAAGAATATATTATCTGAAGTATTGAAATATTTGCTAAAACCAGTCTTTTTAGCAATTTACACTTTATCAGAAGCGGGTTTTGTGGAGATTTTTAGTAATTTTATATAATTGAGATCACGAGTCAATTGAAGCTAGACCATTATGGAAAACCTGAGAGCACTGGACGACCGTTTCGTCCCATTTTTGGACTCTTTAGCAGTGCGAATCCACGATCCCAACCGGCTTTAAGAGGTATTTCTTAGAGTTCTAGTGAGAAGCAGTGAGGAGTGGAGTTCAACCAGGTCTGTTGTGAGATAGTAACTCACTGAAAACAATGATGGATTTGTCTCTCAATTTCGTGGATCTGTTGAAGTTAGACATTAACACTGTTGGATGCCGGCTCAGTGGTCTAGTGGTTAAGCGCTCGCGCGCGAAACTTATAGGTCCTGGGCTCGAATTTCTTGAGGCAGGATAGTGGATGCACACTGCTGAGGAGTCCCACAATGGGAAGAAACGGCCGTCCAGTGTTTCCAGGTTTTCCACGGTGGTCTAGCTTCAATTGATTCATGATCTCAACTATATAAAATTCCTACCTTAATAAAATGGACATACCAGTAATAACGGAATTTGAGTTTACCATTCATTTGAGCTAGATATCATTGTTCACGTAATACGTTTGTGATATCTTTAATATGACCCTTGATAATAACTTTCTACTCGGTTCCTAAATCCCCAGAATTCTCTTGTATTTAAGTCTTCTAGACATAGAGACAAGACGCAAAGTAAGGAAGAGAACTTCAGTTCGAGGCTAATTAATGTACAAATTTGTCGTTAGTTTTTGATCTCTCGAGATTTCTAGATTTAGTAACATGGAAAAAATTTACCCTGTCACTAGCCAAAATAATGTATTAATTTTCTAGACGTTTTCGAAGCTTTTCGAATGGATATATATGGGACTAAATGTCCTTTGCCATTCCATCGTTCCTGAAGACCATATTGATGAATTTCCGAATCATTAACGGAGTTTTTTTACTGTGTTACTTGACCTGTTAGGTTTTTAACCGGCATAACTTTATATAAACAGATAACAAAGCCATCAGAAATAAGCCTCAAAGTTAGATAGGTTAAAGTAAACCCAATAAATGAGTTACCCTACATAACTGTGTTTTATTCAACTTATAAAAATAATTTCATGAATGTATGATTGCTTGATGATTTTTCTTGTTTTTTCTAAAAATAACTGAATTTAATATACATAAGCAGTATTATTTATAAATGATGTTTCGCTCAAACAATTGGTTTTATCCACCTAAGTAAACTCTTGGAAAAAAAGAAGAACTGTAAACATATCAACTTTTAAGCAAAAATAGATGGCGATTAGCAGTAGAATCCATAATGAACTTCTATCTCATTTGGTACTCGTTAACATGATATACTTTCAACCAAAAAGCACGAAACGTGACACCTGGATTTCACTGCTAACTACTATCCATCTACGCTTAAAAATACTTGTGACCCAATGACAGTACCAAGGCAATGCTCATAGGATGTAAATATACCAAAAGAGAATGATCACTTTCAGTTACAAATATTAATGGAAACACTCAGACAACCAATATGTATAAATGGAAACATATCATTCTGAAAAATCATTTCATTTCATAATCCTTACATCTAGTTATATAAGCAATTAGATTATTATTTTTTTCTTTTGCCAGGGTTTAACTTTTGAAATCAATCAAATAACTTTTTCATAATATGTCATTTGTTTTAAAGTACATTGGAACTTAGATAGAAAAGTTACAAAATCAATGTCATAATGCAGAAATCTCTATGAATTTTGAATGGACACTTTTGTTTGATAAGGAATTAACACATACTGTAACACTTTTGTTACATAAAAAAATAAATTTACTAATTTACCTTCTATTCATCTTCCGAAAGAATAACTACCTCCACATTTCACTAAACAAATTCTGAAGTATTAAGGAATTGACGTTGATGATCTAATCCATTTCAGGCAGTTTAAAAGACACAACAACTAAAGACGGCAGATGTAAAAAATATTTATGAAGTAAATTATATCAATGGAAATGTGTATTAGATAGGAGAAAGTAGAACTCCCCTACCTTTGCTAACACATAGACGAAAGTAGATCATTATATAGGCTAAATGACAAGCCACCATCTACATCAGTGGGTGAAAATAACCGTGGATATTAATTCCACTGTCTTATCCATTTACGTTTTGCTTCTCATCAGAACTGCTGAGAATTTCTGTTAACTATAATAATGGTTTGACATGAATTTAAATCTCATAATAATTTTAAGTTTCCTTAAGATTTCAGTCATGATTTACGAATGAACAACTAGTATGAAACAAGCATTCACAGATCACTGTTAATCAACTTCAAGCATACAACGTCTGTGTTTTCACCATCAAAGTATTTATCTGCATTCATTGCAAAATTACCATATCAGCCATGGAATAAAGTATATTAGCTATTTCGTTGAAATAATCAGTCATTTAGCGTTTGGTGATGGATCAAAACAGAAACTACATGTTTGTTTGTAAGCAAAGATGGATGTACATACCAGCTGACGAGCCCCAAATAGGAGGAAACGCGCGTCAAACTGGATTCCACTGCTAGCCACTATCCATCTTTGCTTACAATGCTTTTTAATTAAAACTATATCGAGGCAATATGCACAGTATGCACATATACTAATAAGAGACTGACCAGTTGCAGTCCTGAACATCAATGGGAAGATTCAAACAAACTATACTCTGTGAGTACATGTTGTTTGTTTGTTTTTGAAAAAAGGCACTTCCTTAGCATTTAAATGAATTCAATTTCAAGATGAAAATTAATGTACACCGTGGTTAGTGGAGTGTTTCTTATCATAGATAACTTTATCAAATGATAATATCATTTAATTTGTCCCATTGATTTTGCTTTGTGAGCAATATTTCAAAAGTATAATTTAGTAAGCACAGACAATATTGTCCAAGTGATTGGATACATATATATGTATGTTGATATTTATAGGATGAATTATGATGCTGTTTCTTCTTCTTTTCGAAGAACCTAGCAAAAGTAAAGTTGATTACTGGTAAAATTGGCCTAGATCCCCTTTATAAAGAAGAATTGCTATTTGTTCGACGTTACATCATCCAAGTTTACTACAGTGATTGAATACTTTTTAGGGTGAAATATGTTATCAAATGACAAGTGATTCTTCATATAAATTAATTCGCTATATAACATTTTTCATTTGAGTTTCAAAAAAAACATCCTACCTTTTATTATTGTCAATTATTTCTGTTTTGATTCAATTTTCAGCACCTGGGACACCTCCTCAAGTATTACAAGCCATTGTTGATTCTCCAGACTCTGTAGTAGTAACCTGGAAATCACCAGTTGAATCTAATGGTCGTATTACTGTGAGTATACAAAATTAAATTATTATATAATATGAGATCAATTGAATTATCGATAATAATTTTATATGAGTAGTTTGCTTTTTTCAAGTTTTTGCTCTAATTCACTCTTTAATAGTTATAGTCTTATAAGGGTTTTTTATAGGTTAAATCGATTAATGAATTCATTTTATAGCGATTTTCCAAAATTTCTCCACTGAATAAATAAGTAATTGGTTTCTCATTTAGTTTTTTAATATATGATAAGCCAAAAAGGTACAAATCATAAGCAAGAATCCCTTTTTAAGTATACACTAAATAGCTGTTATATCCGAACGAAGAATAAATGAATGGTAACTGCTAGAATCTATTTGTGGTCTATTATTATGTATATAATCTTATTTTATAGCTATTAGGTAACTAGATTATACGTATATTCATATTCCTTTTATCATAAACTTTCCTTTGACCTATTGAGTACTATTATGCGATTTATTACGTTCACGTTATTCCCAGTCTGTTAGTTATAGTCTCTCACACCCGCAGACACATTTGGCTCGATCATGTATAACTATTATTTTTTATTTTATGATATGATGTGGTCTAGTTTGCTTGTATATAAACTACGTATGTCTGAAATATATTATTTCTAGACTGTAGGCTGAGATTTTGTTCTGAGATCAAACGGGCAGGGCTAGGTGAGAAGGACCAATAAGGATTCAGAGTTGATGTAAGGCTGTTAGTGCCGGTTTACTTGTCATATAAGCTGGTATTCTGATTGGTGATTTCGTCACGTGAAAATTGACAGGGACAAAAGCCTTAACGTTAATGTTTAAAATTTCAATTAGTAAGTGAATAAATACAACTAACCTATAATGTCCATATCAAGACATTAATTTGTTCAAAAGATCTACAGAATAAAAGAATACAGCGCTTAACGGAAATAAAAGTTTTGGTTGATGATTGATTATCACATTAATATAAAATAACAAATCAGCAACTATTTATGTAATGGTGTTGTGCAGATTGTTAGATTTTTTCTAGTCCGAATCACGAACTGACCTTAATGAGATAAATGTCGAAAACCAAGAAAATATTCGATGTATATTCTGTTTTAATACGGAACTATTCATTAGCTCACATCCATGATCACTGAATTATTCAGATTTGGTAGTGAGAGTCTATATCATTTATATCATTTGCACGTTTTTTATGCAACCGCCTTCCAATCCTATTGGTGAGTAAACGCCTCATACTCGATATTGATTAACTCAAGTGATCACAGCTTCTCACTAGAGCTTCATAACTTAGATCTAGGAATCGATCACTAGTGAAGACAGGTAATTTATAACCAGCTACTCCGTTTTAACCCAACTCATTATGATTTCAGTAATATTGATAAAACATAGTACATAAACATTTTTTTGATGGCGTTTACTTGAACAAAATTACGGTACTTTTACTTTAAAATATTCTATAGGGTTATAAATTGTATTATACAACTCGACCAGAAGATTCACTTAACTCATGGTTAATTGCTAGAACAACACAAGAGAAATATCATTTGACAAAATTGATCCCAAATGCAACTTATTATATTAAAGTTAATGCATTCAACGCTGCTGGAGATGGTCCAGTTAGTGAACAATTACCAATTGTAGTTACACCTGGAGGTTAGTTTTAACAATCATAATAATAATCATAATGTGTATAATCTTATTATCATCATAAATAAGAGATATAATCAAAAAACCATTTCTAATCTCTGGTGTTCATTTATTTAGTTTCCAATTCATTTTAATGAATTAATTTGATAACTGTACAATTGATGTAACTATGTCAATGTTTCTAATCTCTTCTTCTTCTTTTAATATTTACTGTGTTCATTTTTACAGAGAGTGAGTGTACATTTCTTGAAATGGAAACTTCCTGCATGTTTGTATCTTTGTATGTATGCGTTTACTTTAGGGTGTGTACGTCAACCTACTAATTATATACAAACAAATGTGTATACCATATTAATCAACCAACCAATTCAAAAATGTTCAACTTTTTTTGCATGAATCTTGATATTTACCATCAGTTAGTACTTTTGATTATAACTAAACTAAGGAGTATACGAAAAAGGGAAAAAAAAGATTGACTGTTGTATCCACAAAGTTGGATGATATAACTAAGAAGCATATATTCTTCATTACGAAAAGCACCATTCACATTTATTAGACAGGAAAGGTAACCCTAACAAAAAGTATCTACCGTTTGCTATATAATTTTTTTCTACCATTGTAAATTTGAAGCATGTTACTGTTAATAGTAGTTACAAGTACTGAATTCCTCAATGTCCATTCATTATCTTACTACTTTAACAAAGAAGTAACATCTAAAGTACGATAGCATTCTATGGGACGGCATCACAACAACATGTAACTAAATGACCTAGACCATATGGATAATAACATTTCATGGTTACGCCTACATACTTACGCAAATTAGAATTATGTAAACATTAAACAGAGTTTTTAATTCATATACATTGATTATGTTGATATTCTTATTGATAGTTGGGACTGCATTTAATCAGCCACTTGCACACGATGCACATATGCCAAAAACAGACTGAAAACGTGCAGCCATAAAAACCAGTGGAAAGATTCAAACAACCTATATATATATATATGGCGTTCGGAGCGAAAAGTACTGAAGTTCGAGTTCCGGAATGAGTATCAACTGCGGGATACAAGTAAATCTGAGTGACGAGTCCCAGTTTAGACAAGCTGAGTGCCCTAGATTCTGCTACCAGCCACTATACTTCTCCGCTTAAAATTAAACATAGTTATTTTTTTTGTTCATGGTATACTTGATTAACAGGCGCTTGCTTTGTTCAGACCAACAGATTTGCGATAAATACCAAGAATTATTTGAGTTGAATGTATTATGTGACAAAATCTAACTAAAGTTGAGATTATTTAGCGATGAATTTATGACTCAGTGACCAAACGGAATCATATGTGGCATAAAAGAGGAAAATTGGGTTGATCTTATACGAGGCTTAGCGAAAGCACAATTATCCAGTGCATTCTGGTTTCTATTGATTCATTTGATGTTGTTAGTCAGTGGCAGAATCTTTTTCGAATCAAAAATTAAAAATTTGTTTTTCGTGATATTCTAACTGATAATTAAGACTTAACAAAGCTAAGTGTGATCTGGGAGTATCTAACATCCTGAAAATCTCAGACACCATCAGAAACCGGATATTTCTGATTATCGCGGAGGAATCTACACGTAATTTTGTGATCAACTTATGCAGAACACGCATACTGGTTGTTATGATATTAAACAATCTTGTACTAAAATCATAAAAGTTAGTTAATTATGTAAAGTGAGATAACTATCAAAGATATCTCCATGGTAAATCGTCTACTGACCACTTAAGGAAGTGTATCGAGATTGTTTTATTTCACTGTAAATTTGATAGGTTAGTATTCATTGTCATAGCATGACTATAAAATACAACCCTCTTAGTACATATCTACCAATAAGGGAACATGTTTTATCCAGTCAATGATTGTTAATTCTTTTATTAGCTTTTGTATTCATCAATCATGAATATCAAATTATAAGTTATCCTGGGCAAACAAATCAATACTCACTTGCTTGCTCTACTCCCATACTTTTAATAATAATATGATTATTACTACTAACTTTCATGAATAATTCATCAATTGAATACACTACAGTCCATCGATTAACATTCATTACATTATCAATTAATTAGTCTTTAAACAAAATCGAAATTCTTTTCCTGTTTAGTGACTACTTATATAACCCCCCCCCTTTATAATGCATGTGGGTAAAAGAATCACCTACCTATTTTAAGATAGTTTCTCTTTAAAAAACTCTTCTATCAATGTTTCACTTTGTCTTATTTGCATGAAAGAACTAAACATAAAATGTGCGCTTCTTTGTTTTTCGACTTTTCAGGACAATTTTTTGTGTAATTTTATGTTAGATTCCGTTATGAATTATGTTACAATACTTATTCCAATTACTGAAGAGAGTAATTTGTCGAAAATAAGTATTTTCAAAAAAACAAAAAAGTCGAGTGTGTTGCCGTGGAAAAATGGTCGAATTATTGATTTTCGACTTGTAGCTAAATAAAGTTCATTATTGCGTGAACATTTGAATAATGTGTCAGTCAAAATGTACAAGAAATATAAAATAAAGGCTACTTACTCATCAATATTCACCTACAGACATTGAAAAAAATAATCTCATTACTCTTCCCTGTAGTTTTGATGCACCGGATATCTGTGTCAATGAATGTAAGATTTGATTTGGAAATATTTTATTAACAGGATAGAAATAAAACGTGACATCTTACCATTTTATACAGTTTATTAACTGAATAATATATTTGGATAGGCGAAAAACAATGAATATAAATAATTGAAATCATGATTCAATTGAAGCTAGACCACCATGAAAAACCTGAAAGCACTGAACGGCCGTTTCGTCCTATTATTGGCGTGAGACTGGTAGGTCCTGGGATCGAATCTCGCGAGTGTGAGATCGTGCATGCGCATTGGTTTTCACTGGTGGTCTAGCTTCAATTGACTCATCATTTCGACTATGAAAAATACTGAAATCTGCACAAAACCCCTCCTGAAAACAATATGGGTTAAGCGAATAAGAAATATTATTATGATTCATATGAAATGTAATATAAAAGATTATGTAACATATGAAATATAATAGGATACATAAAAGGGTTCAACCTAAGGGTAAATATTATTCATATGTAAAGGAATAAAATACAATGAAATCTGATAAATGAAAATAGGGTATATACTTTAGGTTTAACTGGTCACTCTACGATCAAAACGATTGTTAACTTTGTCACCTAAAATGTAACCAAGATGGATTATATATATAGTTATACCTGTTTCTATGACTTTGAACAATAAAAGTAAACAGAGCATCTTTTGTTTAAAGGATTCGAAGCCTACTAATTTTCCACTGACTCTATCGAATTAATTATAGATTATGGAAGAATCTGTGAACAACGTTCGTCTCAGAGTGGGCAAAAATTTAAATGTTTATCTTCCAAAATACAACTGCTTCTAGCTATGTTAAAAAGTATTCACATTAACGGAGACGTTACTTGAACGAACATCGTTCAACGTAAATTGCTTCACAGATCATATCTAGTGAACATATCAAAAATTAAGACAATTCACCTTCCAGTTTCACTACTGGAACGCATAGAAATATTAGGCGTGGATTCTGAAAACTTAAAATTCTTTATATGGACCAGACGAATCACTTAATTGACGTTTAAACTGTAGTTGCATAAGTTTAGTGTAAAAGTGTTGAATATATATATATATATATATATATATATATATATATATATATATAAGCTTCTAGCACTCATTGAAAACGTTTACTGATCCGTATCTTTCAGTGATTTACTGATCATAACGTGTCGTAACTTCGGAAAACTAGCTGGAAACACCACTATGAAAACTGAACATAACATAGGTATTCACTTTAAATACTTTATTACTTTAGAATTCAGGAATTCACAGCATATGCATTACATATATTGTAGTGAATGAAACCAAGTTATTATTATTACTTTCAGTAAAATCAAACGGTAGATTTGTAAAATATGAAAATCATACATTGAATGCATCATTTGTATAACTTCCTTTAGTTGTCCTTTACATACTTCATCATTTTTCTGATCCTGTTGTTATTCCGTTCGCTGTTCGTTTTCCTTCCTCTTCTCTCTATTTTACTCTTCCTCTGGTATTCATTCTTATTCCAATTCGTTCTATAAAGTACTTATATCTGCCGCATAAGTGGCGCACACCACAATATGATGCATTATTCATTTATGGTAGACTTCTTAAAGATTTCTATTTGAGTTTCATTTTTCATCATACAACTGATGTTCATTTTAATTCCAAACACTCTATATATGTTTTTTGTGCCATATTCACAGAAACACCCTCTCAATACATATCATTATTCGGAAAAGCAAACAACAAAATAAGGTTGTACAGTTTACTTGAAACTAATGAAAGTATGGACAAATAAGGTTAGATAGAATCTAAGCTTGAACTAAACGATTACTGCACTTTAAAATTGCTTAGTTAGTCATATGTGCAAATTCACTAATCCAGTTTACAGATTTTATTATTCGAAAAATGAGAGCACAAAAATTAAATGATAAAACAGTTCTTCACCAATTATGGAACAGTATTGAAATGATGTACTTCCAGCATTTACTTAATGGTCAACATTAGTTGTAAATACATGCATATGCTGAAACTAAATTCCCAGTTGATGTCATTGTAAGTCTGCACATGATCTACTTTAAAAGTAAGTTGGATATGACATCACAGATATTGAGAATGATCTATAATGATATAATTATTACCATTATCACTACGAAAACTATTTCAGATTTCATAGATATTCAGATGGATATTCGTAAGTTGACATGTTTTAATAGTGAGTTTACTTCTTAGTCATTTATTCACTTTTTTCTCCCTCTCTCTCTCTATTTATCTTGTTCTAATCCTATCACATAATCGTTTTAATTAATTCTCAGCTTTATTTATATGCATTGTCTGATTCTATTCAAATCTAAACATATAACTGTCAGTCTTTACAATCACTCAATCCATATATGAAAATAAATGTTCATTCTTTCACTCAACTCTCTCTCTACCTTTCTCTGCCTATCTCTCACCTACATATACTCAATTTCTAGTCATATATTTCAAATTGTTTCCACTTTAGATTACATAAAAAGTCAGTTTCTTTTCATTCAATCTAAAGCAAATGTCTTAATCTGTTAATGTGTATATCTATAAATGTCTGATAAAGAGATTAATTAAAAATTTAAAAAATCACATGTCCCTTTGTCACATTCTCACATTTAGAAACTATTAATATATAATTGTGATAGATACATACATATTTGTATCAAGATTCGTTCAATACTTATATGTAATAATGTAAGGTATCAAATTATATCCATGTCTATTTATGAAATACACAAATAGTTATTAGAGTAATGCACAAGAATGAAAGACGTTTCTATATTTAAAATAAAATTCGCTACTTTTTTCATTTTTGCGTGAACATTTTAAATAATTTTCACTAATTCCAAACCATTAATGAAGAGTATTTAGTTTATTCTATAACAAAAGTTCTATTAAATCCCATAAGTTGATCTATTATCAAAATGTATTTTGTCAAAATTTATTACACTACTATCAAATTTGATAGTAGTTAAAATGACTAAACGGAATTTTCATCAAATATATCATACATGTATATTGTAGTAACATTTAATGCACTTTATAATGTATTATTCTCTGTCTCTGACATAAACCACTACTTACAAATTTATCTTATATATTGGTTTATTGTATAATATCACTATTTTTTGATGGTATTCATGTACTACTTAAATTGATTTACCACATTTAAAGTTATTTTAATTAATTGTACACACCAAAAATCATTATACCATATAAAATATCTATAATTTGTTGAAAGTAAGTACTTATTTTTCTTTCATATTAAATCTTCCCACATAAAACTGCTTCGGTAATTTGTCCACATTTACTATCTTAGAATACTGAACATTTCAATCACATTCTCTATAATAATGCACACCATTTATGAATACATATATCTATATCAGCATGCTGACAGTATTTATATCTATATACATATATTTATGTATATAAAGATACTATACTTAAATAATGTGAAGTTATATATATATACCTTACAGTTATATACCGTATTTGTCCAACATTGTTGTCATGTTTACTGGTAGTATCTTGAAAATCACTTGCTTACACCTTATTTTTCCTTCTTTTTCTTGATTCAAATACATACGAAAACTCAACAAAAATACAATTTATTCACTGTCATAGTTCCAACAGCACCTACAAATTTACGAGGTATATCATTGAAGCCAACAAATATTCATTTGACCTGGACACCACCTGAAGATATGTCAAGTGATAGAAAATTACTTGGTTACAAATTGAAATTTCGACCTGCTACAACTACCTCTTCTGCTGTAGACCAAATAAGTGATATTAAATCACCATTATCATCAGCATCTGACGAAGAAGAAATTAAAAAACAGAAACAAAAATCATTCATCACTGAAACACGTGATATTGATGCAACAGCAACACAGTATTTATTAACTGATCTAGAACCAAGTACACGATATTATTTAAGTTTAGCCGGTAAATCAATACACGGTTATGGAGTAGCTGCTCAAATTGAAGTTCAAACAAATGATTACCGTAAGTTTCAATTAAAGTTCATTTGTTTTTATTTGAATTTTAACTGTATTTAGGAGAACGGTTCTTTGATGTTATTGATTATTCAGTTACTCAATAAAATACAAGTAGTATTATATTATTCACTCGGGTACATTTCAAAGTTAAAAATGCTATGCAAAATTAGTAGGTTCAAACAAATACAAGCCAAACGTTTTCAATTGAAGAAGTCAAATACTAAAGACAGTCCATTATACAAGACAATGTAATAAAAAACGAATTTATTAATTTGTACTTGTTAATATTGATTTAAATTGAAAGCCTTGAAATTGGAATCATTCTAAGTATTATCAATGCTCATTGATCAAACCTCAAGGAATCACTATTAGCAAATGAAGAAAAACCTGACTTTAAATAAGTTCTTTTGTTAAATTTTATATCATCCCTTTGTTTTCTGCCTGTCCATTTTTATAGACCAGTATGGTCCTTTTGTTTACTTAACAATCTAGAATATTGACTTCTGATCAAGTAATAACATTCATATAATATCAGTTTTCGCATTAAGCATTATAAGTACGTTACAATGATATTACAAGTGGGTTCAATAAAACAAATCAAGATATAATATCGTAAAGAATAAATAAACTGATCTAACATTTAAAACATACGAGTTACAGGTTTTTAATTGTATTTTACCTTTCTAAGACAAGTACCGATACTTGTATCTAAGATCTGTCATTAATACTAAAAGACTAGATGATACTAATTCATATGTAAAGTAAAATTATTACTATTACTGATTGACGAGACTTCGACAACAAAATTTACTTTCAAATTTAATCTAACAGCCAATAATAACAATGATAATGATCACCTAAATGAAGCCTGGAAAAATCGAGAACACAAATAGGGACAATAAGACACATTTAAACGCAGAATTACTGAATTTCTTACTAAAATCTGAGAATCATACGATAAATACTTAATTTGCAAAATATTGATCAATTGTCTCATACTTGACTGTTCCTTTGTAAATGTCAATCAATCGTCTCAGACTTCACTGTTCCTTTATTTCCATACCAATCACTATCTATTTCCGTTCTTTTCTTCTCCATCTTCTCGACATTCTTATGCTAGACATTCTATTCTTGACTAGCATTATATAATATTATGTCGATATAAGTAGCACACACCACAATATGACTCATGTGACCCAAATAATTTGAAATAAACGTCCAACCTTACATTGTTAGCCAAACTTCAAATATACTAAAAAAAGGTATGAATTACTTCTCACAGAAAAATATATAAAAATGGTTTTATTAGATAAGCTATACACAAAAAATACTCTTATTAAACGTTTTTGTTATAGTTTCAACTTGTACCAGTGTTCTATGAAATCAGTTTACCCCGTATTTGCTTTTAATGATTATTACATCATTTGAAATCCTATTTCATAGTGAAACAATAGAATTCGATCAATACACTGAAAATCTTAGTCCAACAAGAAATTATTCTCAATGTGAATAATTCAGTAGTAACGTTTGGTTACTGATCATATGCTCACTAGTGACTGGCTGCATGAGGTAATTCCTGGAGTTCTAGTGAGAAGTCGTCACCAGCGGAGCTAATCCATATCAGGTAGAGACAGCTATCTACCTCAGTATGATGGAAGTTGGTCGCGCAATTTCGTGGATTGGTTAGACATAAACACCGTTAGGTGCCGGCTCAGTGGTCCATCGGTTAAGTGCTCTGGCGCGAGACTGGTAGGTCCTGGGTTCGAATCTCGTGAGGCGGGATCGTGGATGCATACTGTTGAGGAGTCCCATAGTAGGAAGAAACGGCCGTTCAGTGCTCCCAGGTTTTCGATGGTGGTCTAGCTTCAATTGACTCATGATCTCAACTATATAAAATTACTGTAATACTTGATGGGATGGATTAACATTGTATATGACACGTCTATTTTGCCCAACCTTTTATATATACTCTATGTATCAGATTCTATTAGCATAAAACTAGAGTCAAACAGAACATCCTACCGCGTTTGTATTCAACAATTCTGTGTTAAACAATTATCAACCTACTATTTTGGTTAAGAACAACTTCTAACTTAAACCTTACTGTAAATTGTTTTTGACTACTTCTTATTTCGTTTCTTTTACCTTATTTATTTCTTCATTCAACGTTATTAAATGATTTAGCATTTGATCTACCTTCACCAAAAAATGTACAATTACGTACACTGACAAATGTTAGTGCGAAAATATGTTGGGACCAACCAAATTTACCAGAATTAATGTATTCTACAATATCTTATGAAATTTTATTCGGATTATCGAATGAGTCGATTAGTCCATTAAATGCTACAGGGATTATACCATTACCACAATCAATATGTTGTTGTTTCACTATGATGCATTTACGACCCGGTACTGATTATCGTATATGGTTACGTTTAGTCAGTCATAAAACTTTGCCAACAACTATTATCAATAATCATGATGATATGAATAAAAATGTAGCATCATGGCCATCGATCTATTCAAAGAATAAAATCACTGGTCCAGTGTCTGAACTACAGGCATTTCGTACATTAATAAGTGGTGCGTAATTATGGATAGTTGGCTTTGCTTATTTTAGCTTTGTTGCTCTTAACTTAATGAGTAGCAATGCACGCATGATTAAATACTAACAAGAATGAAATCAAGCATGATTTTTTGATTGCGTCTTGCTTCATAATAATGTTGCATGCAAATAAGCCCTGGTAAATCCCCATTTTTAAACATTAAATGAAAGCTATTGCATACAAACAAAACGGGGAATCGATTAAGCAATTTATCCTGCCGTTCAGTCCGTTTACTAATGCAATGTACCAGGTTTAAAGAATCATGGTAAAAAATACTTTATTTGCCTTCATTAGATTAGATCCTAAGTCCGAAAAGTGGCTTACTTATTCGTACTTTTCCCACTTAATTTCTTTGGCATCCTTTTTTTCCAAGATGTAAATATAATATTTCGGATAATGGCTGTCAATAAATTTATAATGAGCATTTCATCTTAATCTACATATACCTGGATTCCACTGTTGATACTAAAACTGAGACTTAGAAATGATTTTGATGGAATTTTGTTCTCTGAGCTGGATGATTGGTCGTGGAGCTTTCATCGTCCTTCTGAACGACATCATCAGCACAAACATGATATTTATCGCTTTGAGCCCTTGAGTGTTATTTAAAAATGTTCTGAGATTCAAATTTTCACTAAAATATTCAATAGATATCATATACAATACTTACTATCAGCATATATATTTTCCCTTTGTTAACATTTAGCACAATATTCTCATTTAGTAGCTGAGACCATTTGAGTTCCGTCAGGGGTGACTTCCTATTGGTTGTTGATATTTATTATTAACTTCCTATCTAATACTCAATTTTTATGAAAATATCAAGTCCAACCTTGGCACTGATATCTAAAAGCTCATCAACACTTTCAGGTTTTATGCTGACATCTAAAAATTTAGACTATTCAGCCTAAACCGAACGGTCTAAGTTTCTAATTTCTATCAATTCGTGATATCACTCGAACATCCTCCAATACAATTGGTGGATGACAGTCTCATGCTCCGGTGATTGAACTCCACTGATCATAGCTTGTCATTACAACTTAAGAAATCGTAACATGAAATTAGTCATCACAAGTCCCATGAATAATGTTACTTAAAGAGTCATATAATAAGTATGACATCCTTATTCTTTCTGGCCACCAATACATGAAAAAGTATTTGTCTTGATCTAGTTAAGGTCTATACAATATAGAGTATCTAGTTCAACAGTGACGAAAACTATTCTACCATCTGGTAAGTCGACAAGTGAAAGAGAGGAAACGAATCGACTGAATCAATTTACGATTAATTTCTGTTTCATAGTAACACAAAAAGATACAACGCACAAACAGTTAAAGAAACATCAAGAAAGCAAAATGGCGTAAAAAAGTTATATTTAGATGACAATAATTTTGAAATAAAAAAAGAGTATGGCAATGAATCATACATCAAATGAAAGCAGACGGTTTATAGAGTAAACCAAGGGCAAAACTTAATGTTTACAGACTTTGAAGTAATTGAAATAATGTCCCCAAAATGGCTTTCGTTGTTTATCATTTATCATTTTTATTTCTCTCTTCACATCAATATGATAAAACAGATGTCTTCGTAGTTTTCAACTGTTTTCTAACTAAGACCAGTCCATAATGCAAATTATGAAATTCGACAATCTCCACAAATTAACCATGGTATTAAAATGGTTACCTACTTTTGGAATCAAGTTTTGACTCGGGTTTATATTTGACAGCTTATTTAATATTATCACTAATATCCTACTTGAACATCTGGGCTACCTGTTCCTACAATCAAGATATTTCAAAAACTTATCTAATTTTGTTTGCTTCAATACATCATTATGACTATTAATCATATAGACTATTCTATTCAGGTGCGTTTCTGAAAAGTGTACAACCTTTCGTTTTACAAGTTATAAAAGGCCCAATAAATGATATCGTGGTTGCTGGCAATTAATATTAAGCGAAAAGAATGTAAATTATTTAGATGTCGATTAACTAGACTGCTAACTTCTAACTGACGATCATTCATTATTTATCTTCAGGATCGACCAAGAAATATGAAACGGAAACTTGTTGAATTACTTCGTACTGAGAATTCTATATTGTACCAAAAATATAATGCTGAATAAAGCCACTAATAATGATAATCATAATATGTGATGCCAACATTGACTGACTAAACTAATTTCATTTAGTCTCATCACATACAGCTTATTTCATTAATTTTAAATGTAATCCTACTACACTCATGCAGATTAGTAGCTCAATAACCTTCATTTAAATTTATGAAAACCCTTCTAAACTACTTAAATTACTATGCCTACATTATTTCAACCCATATTACTATTAGGCTATTATGTCTTGTCAATTTTCAGTACTATACCCAAAATGAACTTAATTGTTAAAATTCACTTCCGAAATCAATTCAATCCAATTAATATATACATAATTAAATTGTAAGAAATGGGGTAGAGGGTGACTTGTACAATTTCATCATGCCTATAGAAACACATTATTAACCTAAATAGAAATATTGTACCATTTGTAATTGTAAGCATCTAAGATATATATTGTTGTATTGTAAATACCACAATATACAATGGGAATAATAGTTTAAATCCACTATGGTTTAATCATCTTTCAATAATGATAATTCTAAAATGATTTTAGTATATTTAAATGGGGAGATAGACTTTTAATGATCTAAATATTGAAAAATTAAAAAAAAGGTTGATATAAGAAACAACTTTGATAAACAGGAAACAGGTACTTATTGTTGATTTTCAAGTGATTTCTTAGTCAGTAAGTTATAGTTAAACTATATATAACCAATATGATTTGGAATAGTTTTTAGTAATAATGAACTGTAAGTACTACTTAAATACTGCTATGACTATGTTTTTTAGTAAATTTTATGATTTCTAATGTATTTTATATTTGTCATTAATTTCAAGTCTACAGTATAAGTAACGTTGATTAGTTAGATCCTTTCTAGAGTCATCACGTAATACAAACGTTTCCATTACATATTGGAACAAAGTATTTCAGTCTGCTTACTTAATTACTTAATTACACCTGTTATCCATCGTGGAGGAGCATGAGCCGACGACCAGCGTTCTCCATCAAACCCTGTCCTGGGCAGTCCTTTCCAGTTCTTTCCATTTGTTATTCATCCTTTTCATGTCTGCTCCTATTTCCCGGCGTAATGTATTCTTTGGCCTTCCACTCTTCAGGATTCTAAGTTAAGGCTTGCCTCGTGATACAGCTTGGTGATTTCCTTAATGTATATCCTATCCATTTCCAACGTTTTTTCCTGATTTCCTCTTAAGCTGGAAGTTGGTTTGTCCTCTCCCTCAGAAGGCTGTTGATTTCAGTCAGCATACCCCAAAATATCGAATTTTCAAGAAATGGTTCAATGTTAAGCTGTAGATGGGTACTGTTAAGGTGTAAAGTGACTGTAGATAACCGACGGGAAACTCGGCTTAGATTTGTGTTAATTGAAGCTCATCAGCAAGGTGAATCTGATGTGTTAAACTAATTTATGCTCTTTTCAGAATTTAAATTCATCCCACCCAGCTACAAATTTTAACATGTTACTATCAAACTTTCCAGGAAGAGGGTGACATCCTGTAAGTGACCAATTTCATGTCTGCCAAATCGTATCATATTGTTCAAATACTTTCGACAGAGCTGAAATATGTTCACTAAACTGCTCGACTGCTGGTAAATTCTTAACTGAATTGAAGTAGCTAGTAACTTCATTCTGACTTTCTATAGCTCACCACTCCAAGTCTAAACAATACTGAAAATTACTCTTAAAAGCCATTTTCTTAGACAAATTAGAAGGTAGATTAACAATTATTTGGTAAAAGTGATACAAGTTCTAAGTACAATTATGTAAATTGAACTCCATAACTTAAATAAAATAGTTGCCCATTATTATTTGTTGAATAATGTGTGGAACTATTTAAAAATAAGTACTAGAGACTTGTTATGCCAATTAATCTCAAGATTATGGTTATGTCAAATAAAACTACTTTTATGGAAGTTGTATTTGATAGTGGCTAGATTTAAAACACCAGATGAGAGTTCAGTAATTTATTGCTTATTCAATATAGACATAACACACTTTTAAATTCAAAGAGCTATTCAATACACTTATGACTTTTTATAAAGATTGTTGTCGATTTAAATGTTTAGTGTAATCTGTGTATATTAACATGCATACTCTATTTAATGACTTAAGTATGTTTCATATAATATCCATACAGCACTGTTTGGTAATAAGATGATAAATGTGTTTTTCCATGTAAGCTACTAGTGCTTGGATAAAGACATCTAAGGTTTACACAGCATTTAGTAATCAAACAAAAATACCTAAAGATATTAAATAGGAATAATATATTTGTAAAATCTCAGCAAATGAATTTGAAGTCAATCCAACGTTTCGCCTGTCAATCTGGTCCAATCTGGTCCATGAAAAAGCTTGTACCAGATTGCCAGGCAAAACGTTGGATTGACTTATAATTCATTCGCTGAGATTTTACAAATATATTATTCCTATCCAGTGTCATACATCAACTCGATGCCCAAATACTGTGAAAATACCTAAAGTTTTTGAGTTCGAAATTATTCACGGTTAAATATTATTATTTGTTATCACTAAGTTCTTGATTTTCCCAAAAATCCACCACTTCATCTATCAAACTGAATGTTGATACCTCTAAAACAGTATAAGTATGCTTGATTTTCATACCATGAAACGACTTTTGGTTATTAGCAGAAAGTCGTTTATCTGAAAAGTTTGAACAAGCTAACTAATTAAATTGTCCGATCATGAACAGGATTTTTGTTTATACAGTTTACACTACTTATAAGTAGACAAAATCTGTTAGATAAAGTTATTCATAAGCTTAATCGAAGTACTAAATCAACGCTGAACAAGTAGAACAAAGACCATCATTAAATATACCATTGAATT